TCTCTTTGGTCCAAATATTCTCCTCAACATCCTGTTTTCAAACACCCTCAGTCTATGTTCCTCCCTTAATGTCAGAGACCAAGTTTCACACCCATACAGAACCACAGGCAAAAGTATAGTTTTGTATATTCTAAAGTTCTGGACTGAATGGTAGCAAACATTACCCGAGTTCAATCTCCTCTTAATTTCCTCCTGAATCAAGTTTCGATTTGTTATCGTTGTTCCCAAATATCTGAATTGTGCCACATTTTCAAAACATCTGTTTCCTATCTTTATATCATGATTTTGCCCTGCATTCTGGTTACGAGACAGCAACATACTCTTAGTTTTCTCAGTGTTTACTTCTAGACCAACCTCTTTACTTGCATCAATTAAAGTTTGTGTGTTTTTCTTTATGGTATCTACATTATCACCCAGTAGATTCACATCATTGGCATAGGCCAACATTATCCATTGAGTTAGTACATTCAGTAATTAGTTGGTTGGTTAGCTAGCTATAAATGCATTTCAGTGTGAAGGATACTGAATTTCATATGATCAAGGATGACCAATGGGAGAAGAAATTTTAATTTTGGGGAGAGCAATATGCCCTAAGGCCACAGGGCAATGGCACTCAAAGAAGGAACATTAGAGGAATGTTTGTGATCACTATCACATTTAACATTTCAAAAGAATCTGTTGTTATTACACCCCCACCCCCCACAAAAAAGAAACCTATTTGTGACATAATATTAATTTATGAATCTTTCACCTTTACAGCACCAAGATTTATTAGACTGTTAGTAAAAACTGCGTCAACTGGCTACACTGATTCTCCATACTGACATGTCCACTATTTTGCATTGCAAAATGCTATTACTCCCTGACAGTGGGGAGGGGGGGGGAACTCTATGATGGTAGTGGAAATAAGTACAACATTTTCATTCCTGATCAGTTCTAATCATGACGAGTGAGTCAATTCAGACATGAAATTCACCAAAATCTCAAGGTGTATGTCAGACAAGTGTCCTTGAAGGATGAAATTAAAAGGGCAAATGTGTCATTTCTTTCCTGTTGTATCTATTTCATTTCAGACATGCAATACAACTGGGGGTACGTGGTAGCATGGTTAGTTGAGACACTATGCTGCAAGCTGGAAGGTAGCGGGTTAAAGTCCCGATGAGGTCATTGGATTTTCTTCAATTGCCTAATCCTTCCAGCTGCACTATGGCCCTGGGGTCAACTCAGCCTCTAACAGAAATGAGTATCAGGAATATTCTTGGGGGTAAAGGGTGGCCAGTGCATAGGGCATAGCCGATTGTCTAGAAAATATGGGAACCTCAACATCTTACAACCCTATGGGCCTCTATGGCCTGTTACAGGGTTACCTTTACTTTACTATGCAACATAACTAGTCATTTTGAATTACTGTATGGTGGTTGTTAATATGTCTTACTCTGAGCGGTCAGTGGGTAAATGCAGCTTGGACAGGACTCGATGCATCATCAGTGTTTTCAGAGACACAATGTTTCTTAGATGACTCCTTCCAACTGAAACCTACAGGAAATACATAATGTTACAAGATGCAAGTGACATATAACAATTTCAGAAACTTTAAAAAATTAAACATTTTCAGTTTGGAACCCTAAAACAAGCTCCTGTTTTAGAGTAATAAAATACTGACTTAACTGAATTTATGTGACTCAGTGGGAATATATTTTCCAGATCAGTCCAAAAACCCTTCATTTTTTAAAAGTTTTCTCATGGTAACCCAGTGACTCATATATTGAGATTCTGGTGTTCTGGGATGTGATGCTGTATAGTTTAGTAACGGGTGAAAGTGGAAGCAGCAGATTCCTCCAAAATTCTTGTATCCCTCTAACTATTCAACTATATACAGTCACATCCTAGAACACTATCATCTTAATATGAGTATTCAGGCCACGAGAACCTCAACCCTCATACAGAACATACTGTGCCATGAAGCATGAAAAGTGGAATAGCAGGGCCAGAAGAGGCGGCCATTTCTAGGTAACAGCCTGGTAAACATGCTCCCATAGCAACAAGTACATGCGCAACAATAGAAGAACTGTGGGAAGTGGTATTTTCTATGTTGTTCATGCAGAAGCAGTACAACAAGGACCATAGGTGAGTAACCTGGTAGATGACCATTAGTAGTCAGACCCCTCTTCTCGTCAAAGAGGAGGCCCCATTTCAAAATATGTAAAAGGCATGGAAAGAATAAAATATGGCCATGGGTCCTGAATCCAAGATTCACTGTGCTGATGAGGGCCAGCAGCAATTTACCTGACCAACCTAACTGACAATGAGTTGGCAGTTTATGGTTAACAGTTAGTTGCAAGTAGTTATTTGTGTGTCAGAAGCTGCAGTTGGTGGCTGGCTGTGAGCATGGAAGCAGAGGAGTCTCCACTGACAGAAGCTGTTACCCAGAAACAACTAGTGAAGAGACTGAAAAGACTTCATGTGTGTTGTAGTACTGCTGAATTAACAAATGATTCCTACAGCAATAGATAAGCATGCAATAACGTGAATGGTTGGAAATGGTGATCTCTACTTGGTGCTCCCAGAGTTATAAAAGGAGGACACACAAGAACATTGAGTTAGTCCATTGAGAGCATTCGTAAGACAGTCACCGTTGAAGGCATTCGTCAGACAGTCGTAAGAAGGAGTGCTAACCAGTGAACAACAGAAGCTAAGGAAGTGACAAACTTATATATCAGAACCAAGTCAGTCATGCAGAAGAGAAGATGCTCATAGTCCAATAAGGAATGGAGCAAGTCTTAGACAGTCACTGATTTTGAGCTGTTATAATTGATTGTAGTCATAAAGAAGTGCCAATAAATCAAATCATCTAATCCAGAACCCATTATTATTCATCATACAGACCCCAAATATATGACAACAGATTACTGCCTCCTGTGGTCTGGCCTGCAGATCATGGCAGCAGGTTCCTCTGAAATATCTGTATCCATCTATCAAACTATGTTGCAACACATGCCAGATGACTGTAATCTTTATACTCATATAAATTTCACAATAATTTCAATAGTTTAACTGCAATTATGAAGTTATAAGCAATTTATTTTTACAGCTGAAACACACTGTTCAGACATCCCTTTTCTTCATACTTATTCATAACAGACGTAAGCAACCCTCTGTGATTGTCCTATTAATCCTTTTCAAGTGCTCAGCCTCTTGGGTTCAATTTATGGAATAATTCCATGTAACACTTGGATGAACTGAGGACAGATTATGAAACTATTCTGTCTTCTCAGTTTAGTAAATAATTTCAGATTTCCTCTGGTATGGTGGTTATGTACAATTTATTGTTATATCTTAGTAACACATTTCTGAAATACTAATATCCATAATGCATCTTGGAGGCAGTAAAATGTTTCTTTTTGCTAGGTGTTGATTTTTTCAGAAACAATCTGTCCCACTGTATTTTTCTGTACCGAAAAATTTCAAGCCCCATGGGTTAAAAGAAGAAACAAATATAAAGAGAAATAAACTGGAAATACTAAAGTATGTAACCACATCAGTAGCTCCCCTGCTCTGTGATTGTCTAGAACATCCACAACCACACTGGATCTTCTCTCTCTGTATTAATCTTTGGTATATTAAATAAGGAACACTCAATACACCAGCATGATGACCATTTCTTTAGTGTCTGAATCATAACAAATTGACAATGACTTTTTCCAGTAATATCCAGGTAATGTGCTTAATTTTTTTCACAATATGAGCATAACAAATAAATAATGGAGTATTCGTGTTACTATATTATCTCTTTGAAACATAAAATTAATGACTATATGTAGTGCAGTATATACAATCAATCGGTTCCATAACAGTGGTTCTGTATCTGAGATAAATGAACACTGAAACAAAATGGATATGTAAAACTATAATAAAAACATACCTTGATATATATGTGTGCCCCAGTCTTGTCAGATTATGTTCTTACTCTGTCACAGACTTCATTAACAGTGACAACAGAGACTTCAAGAATTAGTAATCCTGATGGTGAAACGTCAGGCCGAAGATGAAAAGTTCAGACTTGATGCAAGAATCTAATAAAGCCACAGGTGCTTCCCAGCATGATCTACAGAGTTCACAATTTTTTTTTAAATTCGCTTAGTGGGGGTGGAGTCCAACTGGGTCCACTTGGCAAGGCAGCCACTGATTGGCCTATTGTAGCCTACCCTGGGTGATCATTATGATGGAGAATTTGGTAGAATGAAGATTGGCAGGGGAAATCAAAGTACTCGGAGGAAACCTGCCCCAGTGCCACTTTGTCCACCACAAATCCCACTTGACCAGACCCAGGATTGAATCCGGGCCACCGCAGTGGGAAGCCAGTGACTAACCGCTTGAGCTATGGCGCGGTCTGGGTTCATAATTTACTTCTAGGCTTTTAAAGCTAAAGCTGGAAGTAATTATTTCCATAAATACTCACCCCTTTATAATAAGCCTCTATTGCTGATTTATTTGCATACCAGTCAGGATAACCAATCAATTCCTTCATAGCTTGTGCTTTGGCTTGTGCTACCTTGCGAGTAACCGGATCCATCCAATCAACTTCACTCACTGAAGAACTGAACTGTGCCCGAATATTTTCCACCATCTGAAGAGCCTATCAAAAAACATTCTGACTCTGTAGAAAGCGTCTGCCCCTCTGTATTATTCTAATAACAAAACTCAATACAACCAAAGACTCACTGCAGTTTCATATTACTGAAACTCTAGTAAACAACTGTTCTCATAATAAAAAACATTATTTCTATAATATCATATACCACAATTCTCTTACATATTTGCTATGGTGACAATGACTGTCTTACAGCAAGAGTTATACATGAGCTTAGATTAAGTGAAAATTGATCACCATTGAATATAAATACTGTTACATTCATTTATAAATAATCTCTGAAGGCAAATAAGCCAACTGTTTTATTCAGTCATTAGTCTAAATCCATTATCTATAGAAACAGTCTGATAAATACTGTAGTATTTTCAGGCAGCAGAGCAAGGGCTACACCCCATCAGGACCAGCCTTGTTTCCTAGCAGCTGGATAATAATTGCACTCTTAAATCAGAGTGGTAAATCAGAAAAGTTTATGTACACATGTGGTTATCTCTCTCTTGCAGGAGAAAGAGAGATGGAGTTTTAAATATTTCTGCAAATTAATTAAGATCTGCCTGCAATTCAGTAGACTTTTCAGTTGACTATTCTTGATCACATGCTCTTCAATTCATAACCTGTCTGCATTGATGTGAAGCAAAATGAAAAATTCCTGCACCTGCTGAGGATCAAACCCTACTTGTCCAGCCCATACTCAGCTGATTTATTGACTAAGCTATTCCAATTCACTAATCTGTCTACATAATAATATCATTATGGTGTTGCATGATACTATGGTAATGCAGAGTTCCAACTGAATGCAAAACATGCTAGTTGCAGGTACTGCTAATTTTGTTGGCAGGTGAATCTACCAACAAGTCTCTCTATTGTCAGATGTCGTTTTCTTGAAAAAATCTTATTTAGTAGAGCTTCTTGAGACCTGCAGTTTGTATTTTTTCATTACCATATGTTATCATTGGACTGTGAGTACATGAAGGAGAGCATCTAGTATAAGAGAGAAATATGATAGTTGTGTTTATGTCAAATGCCTCTCATTATGGTGAAAATGTAGGCAATTTTGAAATGGCTGAGCAGGGAAATGCAAAAATAGACAAAGTAATAATTTATGTCAGAGATATTTTGAATAACACTATCCCCTGGGATATTACACTCTGCAGTCTGGTATTAGCTTATTCACATTTTGGAGGAATGTACTGTCCCAGTCTTCAAAGTTGAAGAAAGTAATAAGCAGAGAGGTGAATACAGAATACAATCTTTGACAGATCAGAGACTGTGTTCTATCAAAGTTTAAAATATCGTGGTTACTTTTTCTCAACAAATGGAGTTGCATGGTCAAAGATATAAATGCTATTAGAGTTATTTAGCCTTGACCTGAAGTACTGCAAATATGGATCATAATTCAAGAAAAGAATATGGAGAATGTGACTTACTGATTTCTTAGCCTCATTATCAAAAAATCGGCTAACATAGGAATAGCCAACAGCAAAGCTTAGAGAACTGGTGGTCACGAATGTACATTCTCGCCATCTGGTAAGAAACAAAACAGAAAATCATGTAACATAAGATTCAAGTTGTGTCACCAAAACTATTACAGTCCATAGTTAGTAATATTAATGTAACACTTACAAGGGCAGTTTTTCCTTAGTTCCACTGTAAACTCTCTCAAATTGAAATGAAAGTTCTCTCATTTTTTGTGTGGTCTCTTTGCTGAGTGCTTTCACTAGACGCCACTGAATGTAGTTTGCTGAAATTAAACCATAACTCACACCATTTCCATCAGGAAATAATTTGATTACTTTTGTATTAGAACTAGTGGCATTATTTCTCATCAAGACTAAAATGACACAAAAGGACGAGAAGAGCAAATTACAGAGGCAATAAATACTACTTTAACAAAATGGCTGATTGTAATGGAACTTGATTAGAAAGAAGATCATGCTATAGAATATCACACAGGTACCGTAGTGTTCAAATATCTGTCTTCAGTAATTCTGGGTTTGATTCCTGGTGGTGGCAGGGATTTTGACTGGTTGTGGGACCCACCCACAAAATCTCCTATCCAGTAGGTACCAGTGGCTCTTTGACTGATGATAAACTGATCAATATATGAAGCTGACCACTCACTTCCATCTAGAGCCAAGGACAAGAATGCATGGATCTACACTTCCACTCTTCTATATGTTTTCATGGTTTGGTGCTTAATTAAGTATATCTTTCTTCATCCTACATATGAAAGTATTAGTTTTGGATGTTCTTAATTTAGACATTATGAAGTGAACAGCACATCCTGTGTGAACATACCAATAACTCTAAGAGGTGTATGGTCCAAAACTGTCACGAGGTCTAACAAATATTGCACCTCCTTAACCACAACCCTCTCCTGCGAATTGAAGGTCACGTCAATATCTGTGAACACAGCTTCAAAGAAATCTTGCCAGTGTATCTGAAAATGCAATATAATTTTTACTAGATAAAATGCAAAATTGTATACCTGTACAAAAAAGAGAGGTCTTCTCTGTCTATGATATTAAACTAGTATAAATATTTGAAATTGTGGATTCTGTAGAAGTATTTATGTACACTCTATATAAACATGTAAAAACAATCACTTGGTCATTACTGAGTTAAGAAATGGGCACAGGAACAGAAATTTTAAGATATATAGAAACCAATTAATTTTACACTAATTAATTCATAAAAGGATAAGTTTTGATAGCAAGATCTTTCAAAGTACCAAACTAGTGACATGTAAATAGTAGCTTTATAGAGCCCACTGATTCCGATATGAACGTTACCTTGGAATATTTGCAGTTATGTACACTCATGCTAAGCATGTATAACATTTAATAACTATATTCCTTGTAATTTTGTTTATGAATGACAATGTAAATTATGGTTATTTGGTGCTTTTGGTTGTGTGTGGTTGTTTGCCATTGACACAATTGTAGTAAGTCGCGCCATAGCTCATGCAGTTAGTCACTGGCTTCCCATCGCGGTGGCCCGGGTTCGATCCCAGGTCTGGTCAAGTGGGATTTGTAGTGAAAAAAGTAGCGCTGGGGCAGGTTTTTTCCGAGGACTTCGGTTTCCCTTGCCAATCTTCATTCCACCAATTGCTCCACAATCACTCTGACCTATCATCTGGGGCTGGTACAATTGGCCAGAAGTGGCCGCAGTACAAGGGACTTAGTCCCACCCCACTAGCAATAAAAAAATGTTTGGAAAATATGAGTCATAGGAAACATCCATAAATATTGTTCCCGAATGGCCAATAAGCCATTCAATTCATGAGTCATTTGGGGAAAGCTAACGAGAAAGATAGATACAGGGGTGCACCCCTTTCTGTTCTTCTGCAATATTCATGCAGATGTTTATTATCAAATCAGTTATTTTCCAGTTAATTCAAATGGTAGCATATATATATAATTTGGTAGGAATTCATTTAAAAATGAGAAAATTTCATGTTCAGAATAAGTGGAAAAAATATCAGTGAAATAAGTGCAAGTAACAAATCTGAACATAGTGTGGCATATTCGCTCAAAGCAAGAATCGTGAGTCATAACAGCTGGCCATTACTATGCAGCGGCCCATAAATGATAGAGGAATGGTGTCTTCTGAGCAGTCTGTGCTGATAGCTGCACATGCAGCAATAGAATACATCATACCATTGCTAAGCAACCATTTCACTGCAACAGAGGAATAGTGTTTTCTACACAGTCCATGCCAGGACGTTATAAGTAACACTCCATTCATGTGAAAATAGCATTTCTTCTTCATTCTACCAGCTATTCCAAACAACAACTGAGCTCAAAATTAACCCTGCATTCCTAAGATATAAAATAAATTACAGACCTTGGCATGAGGACTTGAGATCTGAACAGAATCAGTCAAATTCTGAAGTGCCTCAAGTGTCATTGGGTTGTACATTCGGTATGCATTGCGCCTCTTCTCGGTAGGAGTTGTCACCTACACATATAACACAACATTCTCTTCACAGTATCACATAAAATGCTAAGTCACAATTTCCTGTACATTCCCATAAACTTATTATCTAACTCTATGGAGCAGATTCCTTTTTGAGAAGATAATAAGTGCTCACCTAGTCAAGCAAGTCCTCAACCTTACAGAACTAATAGGTTCCTTAGCATGACCACAAGACCCCACTATTCATCCCTGTCTTATGCCAAATTAATCCAGTCCATACCCTTCAATATTATTTAAGATCTCCTTTATTATTACAATTCCATCTATGCTTAGGTCTTCCTGGTGGTCTCTTCTCTTGAATTTTCTAATTAAAATTTTGTATTTATTATCTACTGATCTTATGTGTACTACATGCCCTGCTCATCCCACTGTTCTTGAACTGATCATCCTAATATCTGGTGAAGAGTATAAATTATAAAGCCCCTAATTACACAATTTTCTCCAGCTTCCATTTATTCCCTACCTCTTGGATCTCCCCAGCATCCTGATCACAAATACTTTCAAGATATGAGCTTCTCTTATGAGCTGGCCATGTAGCATACCCATACAAGAATTCTATAGGTAAAATCATAGTTTTGCATTCTTTAATTTTCATGTTCTTAGACAAAACACAAGAAGATAAGATTCTGAAATCAACAGTTTCAAGTATTCTCTGGAATTAATCTGTTTTTAACTTCTTCATGAGTGCCATTTTGTTTTGTTCCTTGTCATTCTGAGATATTTTGAACTTTGCACATTTTCAGAAGCTTCACTAGCTATTTTTATATTAAAATTCCATCTTGTATTCTGGTGATGTGACACGAACATATACTTTGTTTCCTCGGCATTTAATTCTTTACTGATCTCCTTAATAGAAACTAATAGAGCTACTGTGTTTTTCTTTGTTGTATTTACATTTCAACCCAAAAAATTAATAGAGACCAGAAGGGTACTAGTATCTGCAAGTAGAAGATACTCACATGTGCCAACTCAATCTCAAATTCCAGCACTTCAGATGCATCCACACTGATCCTTGTGGGTGGAACTGAAGCATTTCGAGCCTTCACAACTTCAATAGCAGTCCCCATAATCCATTGACGATATGCTTCCAACTGCTTTCCATATGTATTTGGGTCTGCCAACATTGAACGTGGCAACACTGGTGATGACTGGTCAATCTGCCGAGTGTATATTAGAATTAGATTAGTGAGTCAATAAAATGAAATGGAAGAGAAAATTTATATTGAATTTCTAAAATTTTGGTTATACCATATATAAAATTATTGCATAATCTGAAGTACTTATTTAAGAGACTTGAAAGGATTCTGACGATGGTGTATACTGTACTTCTTTTGGACTTCATCCACTGGACCCAGTGATTGAGACTAGCTCTTTCTAATGGGCCCAACTGAGTAGGTTTATCCTTCCCCACCCACCTGAAGACAGAGACAGATCCAGTCTCTGAAACATTGTGGTCGTTTTTCTTTTACATACCAGACGATGGGTGAAGTCCAAAACAAGCCGCAAGAAGTACTTATTTAATGTTTTTCTATGTAAGACTTACCTTCATTTAACATTCAAACTGTGTGAAGTCAGCCCAGTGTTCTTGGCGTAGAATATTATCCATGCAACATTTTCTTCAATGTAGAGTTAAAATTTATTATCCACCAGACAAATATTAAACAGGAATTTCACATAAAATGTAAACTCTTTATAAAGATGACAATTTTAAATTTCATCACAACATAATAAAATATATTTATGCCACTAATAATACCAAGATGAAGAAGTCCCATAAAACAAACTTAAAAGAGTGCAGACCTCTGAATTCTGCTGGGTCAAATCTCTATGCAATATTAATGGTGGAAGCATGGAGATATTAAAAGGAGAAAAAATGTAGAGTTGTGCTAACTCTCAGGTTTCGTATGCATATTTCAGTGTTACATGTTGTTTAAATATGTTACTTTTAATACATTAAGGACTGAACATGCTTCGGTTAGAAATTAAATCAACAAATTATTCACAGACTGTTGGGGAAACCTGTGGAATAATAATATGGCAACAAAAGAACATGTGAAGCTACTAAATAACTGGATCATTTTATCAGAATGAGAACTATGGGAGAATGTGTACAAATTTCCAGTGTCAAATTTTGTAAGGCATGTTCATAACCATAGAGCCACAATTCTGAGACAGCAATCTTAAAGACATAACCCTCTGATTGCTCATTTTGAAACAAAGTACGAGTAATTCTAGTGTTATGATTTGAGTCTGTCAGTCTTAAATGATATCAGTATAAAGAATAAAGCTGGATTGACAATTTCTAGACTCTGATTAATCTGACCAGTGATATTCATTTTACAATCACATTCAGTGCTGCCACCAGGAAAAAACCAATTTGCAGTTAAAATATAATGATGATGATGATGATGATGATAATACAACCCCAGTAACTGAAAAAAAAAAAGTTGGATTGAATTGCTGATTTACCAACTCTGATCTTCAGGTAAGTAATGTGACTAATAATAACAATTTTTTAACCACATTCAATAATACAGGGCCTCCTAAGTAAAAAAAAACCGTTAAATAACCTAACAGTCAGTTAGCCAAGCATTATTATTTAAGTATATAGGACAATATAGTAATAAACTTCTCCACATTTATGGAATCAAAGATTCATTACTACACCCAAAAGAGCCTGCCACTGGTTTCTGTCTCATGAGGACAATGCCTGGAAACTTATTATATAACTACAGAGCCATAACTTTACCTCCAGAACAGACAGTTTCTTTTCCTCCTCCTTCAGCTTTTTTAAAACAAAAACCCTAATTTTGATACTTCATTATGAACACACAACTCAATAAATTAAAAACCATCAAAAAATTAAGAGGACATTACTTTACTAAGGATGTTCCATTCAGTTTAGTATAAAACTTTCTAACCAAGACTGAAATAATCTTATCCTTAAAATTTATACAGGAATTTCTTATATAAATAATGGCTTATTCTATAGCAACAGCTTGCTTTTATGGCATGTTGAGGTAACAACTCTAATGATTCCAGCAATTTTTTAATAAATTCTGGCATTCTTCTGCCCAGAAAATATGACTTACTGTAATAACACTGTGAGTAGAATTCTTTCTGTCCAAATAAACAATCAGGGATACCAATGGAGAAAGACCCAAATGTCTATTCAATTCTGCAATAGCTTTTTGCCAGTTAAAGTCTTCTTCCTTCCAGGTGTCAGATGCCATTGGCCAATCACCAAGACTTTCTATTATGTCCAACAGAGGTTCCAAGCCTTCTGACTCCACATAATCTACAAAAATTTATTGCAAGATTTGAGGTTTTCATTGCCATGGTACATGAAGATCGCTGTCTTGTGTTTTATGCCTCAATCTGCAAGGTATAAGGCAGCATGTTCTTCCAAAACTTTGGTAATGATCAGTCAAACTACACAGCTTTACATCACAGAAGACAATTATCTTGAAACAATTTACTGCATGTAAAAATAATTATATCACAACTGTGGAAAACAAAGCTCAGATTGGAGCTTCACTGCAATATTTTAAACAAATAATAATATGTACATAGCACACAATATTAATATAATAATTTTTATGATTTCAAATCACTGAATGCTTAGTACAATTCTTTGTTTGACCTTCCCTGAAGCTCCTGGTTATCAATTTCTTTCATCCCTCATATATATATAAATTATTGTTCAATTTATGGATATTATGCTACCAAACAGGTACTGAAAGCAGTTACAATGATGCTGAACGACATGAAATGTGCACTGTAATAACTTCAATTAATGCCATTAGATTTCATATATTTAATAAAAATCATCCTCTGTCTATGTCAGAACCCAATTAATTTTAGATCAGACTTGATCAGTGAAGTTCTAAATCTGTAAAGAGAACAGGAATGGCTAAGCAAGAAATTAAGACATAATAAAGAAAAAGGAGAAAATAATAAAACTTGAAATGGTTAAAATTTGTGATCATTCAGTAATGCTTAATTGGGATTTGCAAAAATTCATATATGATATCTTATAAATATATAGCGAAACTGACACAGAACAAAAATTCAGGACAAGTAATATCTAATAATGACTTACCTGTGTCCATGCAAGCTTGGTATGTTCTCTTGGCAGCTCTCACTGGGAAAGGTTCATCAGGATCATCTCCAGCTTCAAGAATTTCTTTGAATAAAGTAAGAAATTCATTGTAACAAATGATGGCAGTGCTGATGACAGACTACTCCCTCTTTTCTTACTATACGCAGGTAAGTTGTTGTGAGACAAATATAATTTAACAATGATTCTTCTATGATTAGGGGTGCATATGGTAGCATAGTTGATTGAGGCACTATGCTACTAATGGAAGGTTATGGGTTCGATTCCTGATGAGTTCATTGGATTTTTCAATTGACCCAATCCTTCCAGCCATAATATGGCCCTTCAGTCTAACAGAAATGAGTACCAGAAATCTTCCTGGGCTGTAACGGGTGGCCAGCGCATAAGAATGACAACATCTGTGAGCTGATTATCCACAAAATGTGGAAGCCTCGACATCTCACAACTCTATGGAACTCTATGACCTGTTACAAGGATAGCTTTACCTTTTTCACCTTTACTTCTATGATTAAGCCCTTTAAAATTATTCATTCCCTTACTTTGTGCACCAGACCATCCTCATGAACCAACTCTAGAGCTGGTACCACTCATTTTATGGCACTGCTTCAAGCTCTTCATTGTATGCGCACATGGAGCCTTCACACCATGCTGAATTATATGAAAGTTATGTTGAATTTTATCCATTGCCTCAGACAGGGCTGTGCAACTGGCAGCTAGCCAGTTGTCTTTGCAAAATATGTGTTAACACTTGACACATAATTTGGTTATATAGTCATAAACATAAGAATTTTGAAAGCCACATACAATTCAGGGATTGGTGTGCACCTGTCAATATTTCCAATAGCGCAGAGTACTCTGTTCTGCAGGCGCTGAAATTTCAAGTGGTGAGTGTCTGCCGCATTCTCCCAGATGGGACAGGCATGAGTCATAACTTACACAATCAGAGCTTTGTAAAGCATAAGTTTAATATATATACTTAGATGCCAACTTCTGAATAGTGACTAGGTCCTTACATATGTGCACAAGTCCTTGACTACAGTTCTTTCGATATGGTGTCCGTACGTCATCCTCCTGTCAAATGTGACACCAAGATATGTTACATTATTTACAAAGGGAATGTCTCATCTAATTTGCTGTAGTATGTTGTCAGGGACCCCTAAGTCTTCTGGACTGCAAAGAGGACACCATTCCCAGCGCTTCTTCCATTGGTTACGGTGCCTGGTGTGACGTGTTCCATTGCTGCATCACTGTTTACTGTATAATAACCTAGTACCAGGCGTTTCTTCTGATTAAACAACTCTGGCTTCCAATGGACATGCCATCATATATTCACAATTAGTGCAATCAACCATGGCCCAAGTGATTGGAGGCAGTATGAAAGTACTCCCAGACAACATAAAAAATTCATTTGAAAGGCACCAACAACATACTTCCTAGAAGAGCAAAGCAACTGCATAAGTAGGTAACTGCTCCATTTTTTCTCAGCCTTTTCCATACCTTTAAGTTCGAAGTCTACCTTCTCCATGACAAGATCAAACTGATTCCTGTGTGACTCTGAAGGAGGTACAGGGTGCAGCTTCATCCAGCCCCCACAGGCAAACTCGTAGAAGTCTTCACAGGGATCCACACTCATGTTTAGACTATGCAGCAACTGCGTAGCTATGGTGAGATGATACATAAATTATTAAAAAATTTCTTTTGTCAGAGCAATGAAATGAACATTTTCAAAATACAAAAATATGTTACCTCACATTCTATGGAAGCTGCGTTCATGGAAAACCTAATTTAATGCAGGAATACAGAAATTGATGACTTTTCTGTAGGCTGTTTTAAAAATTGGGATTATGTTCCTGAAGAGGTGTTTTTCTATAGCAAACTTGATGATTATAATCTGTTTTTCAGTAATATAAAAGTAAAATAACTTCATAATAGAAGGTACATAAACAAATAAATATATCACTAAACATGTTTACACTGAAAAGGATAGCTGGGATAACTCAATATAGTGATGGGCTACAGGGTGGATGGCTGAGGACCTGGGGTTTGATTCCTGGAATGAACAAAAAATTTTTCTCTTCTCTACACCATAGAGATCAGCTGGAAGAGAACAACATATCTGACTGGTGAACATTTCAATTTACATTAATCAGTGATAGTATTACATTTATGTAGCTCCTTTCACAAACCAGACTGTACTTTTACCAAGGACCAAGAGTGCTGATTATAGAAAATAAAGTGTAACATTAGAAAGACATAATTACCATCTCAACAAAAAGCGGCCTCCGTAGTCTAGGGGTAACGTTCCCACCTCATGACTCAAGGTACGTGGGTTCAAACCCGGCGGAGGTCGTGGAATTTTTAAGGGCGGAAAAATTCAGGGAACAAGTCCTCCAGGAGGGACTTTAAGCTGTGGGTCCCGTGTCGTAGCTTTACGGCATGTAAAAGAACCTCATGTCTCAAGGAGACCTCTGAGCCAAACTGAAGGACATTTCCCGCCCAACAATAGTCTCTAACGCCTCTGGTAGATGGGGGAAGCATCTAGATACCGCTGAGCCAGTAGAGGCCGAACCTGCTGGCTGAGTCGGGACTGATGGTACGCACCAGTACCGGTAGGGTATAGAGACTGGTAGAATATCACAGGGGGACGTACAATAGATCAAACTGGTCGCGGTGCATGGGGAAACCCACCCCCTCCAATAATAATACTAATAATAATAATTCAATTCAATTCTTTATTATTAATGTGCCGAGTCAACAGCCGCAAGGCCAATTATAGACACAGCACAGTGCAGATGAATGAATTACATTATAATAATAATAATCTCAATAAAATCTAACAAATAAAAAAAAATGCTACTTACCAGCTACCTTACACTCTTCTGTTTCACAGACACGACTTCTATCATGTTTTGTAATTTCCAGTGGCCATGGGAGAAATGCTGTAACACAACAGACCAAACGGCAATTGACTGTCCAGTATCCCAAGGTGATACTATACAGAGTACATTATACAATAAAAATCCAGACAATGCCACAGTACCAAAACTGAATTTCAATCAAAAGTACCATTTCAAACACTCCTGACATAAGGCAAAATGTGGAACATCTTGTGCAGAAGTCATGTCAGTCTGTTCAGCCACAACAATCAGTCAGGCTTGTACAGAACAGCTTTTGATGAAAATTAGTTTACATTTAGAACTTCATTATGTACAACCCAGAACAGATGTAACTCAATTACCTGTGCTGTAGCATTTCACATATACATATTTTTTTTTGGAAAAGAGGGGGCGTGTGGTAGTGTAGTTGGTTGAGGCACTATGCTACAAACCAGAAGGTCGCGGGACCGAATCCCGATGAGGTGGATTTTTTCAATTGACCTTCCAGCCCATGGCCCTGGGGTCGACTCAGCCTCTAACAGAAATGAGTACCAGGAATATTCCTGGGGGTAAAGGTTGGCCGGCGTGTAAGGCTTACAACCTTACCGCCATCTGTGAGCCGATTGTCTAGAAAATGTGGGAGCCTCAACATCTCACAACCCTATGGGGCTCCACGGTCTGTTAAAGTGATACCTTTACTTATTTTTTATATGTGAAAAGATGCTGATACTAAACTTTATAAGTTTCCAGAGCTTACAAAACGGTAGAAAGGTAAAGTTGTCTTTGCACTTAACTAATTAAGCACTATGCCTTGAAGGCATAAGGGGAAGTGGCTGTATAGACCCACATTTTCTTAACCTCAGCACTAGTTGGAAGTGAGTGGTCAGTTTCATGCCCCTGCCGCTTTACTCCCAGGGAAAAGCCCCCAGTACACATTGGATAGGAGGTTGGGTGGACCCAGAGCCAGTCTGGACGAGGTGGAGAAGAGAAATTTCTGGCCCCCACTGGGACTTGAACTCCAGCCCCTTGGCCATCCAGCCTGTGGCCAGCCGCTATGCTGACTGCGCTGTCCCAGCTCCTTCCAGAGCTTACAAGCACAACAAAAAGGATGTTACTTAAAAGAGTATGAAAAGAAATGGCACTCAATTTCTATAAAACTTTAGCCATATCAATGTTAGTTTGTGGGTCAGAAATATGGACTCCAACGACATGACAAACAAAATGGATTGAGAAAGCAGAATTGAAGATGCTAAGACCATTAGGAAGAGAATTTACGTAAAAAGTTTCCAACATAAAAGGTTCAGAATATTATCATAGTGGTGAAAATGTATAAATAAACATTAGAACATGTGATTTTTACCTCTGTCACCATGATTTGCTTCCACAGCGAAGATATATGGAAGTGTTAATGATGCAATGAAATGCAGTTTTACCAAGCAGCTGCTCCTGTAACAACTGAATTTGATATATATGCATATAACTGTTCCCTGAAATACTTCAGATAGCAAATATCACTGCAATAAGCTGTGTGTAAATGTTCAAGGATAGAATAAAATTCTGTGAAAAAGCTGAAATATGAATTCATAAATTTCAGAGAGATGGCTCACATTTATGTGACACTGTTCTTACCCAGAGAAAAACTTCTATAAATGGCAAATGGAGTGGGTGCAGTTATAGTTCTGTTGGCCACCTACTTCTGACTGGGCAAAGCAAAGAGCTAACTGCAGAATTTTTACAGAATATAAAACTAGTGAACATTAAATATGCTGTAAATACATACAGTCTAAAACTCTTGAACAGCATACACTGATGGTCTGTAAATCATTTAATTATTCTGTATCAGATTAAAAGTCATACAGTGTTGAATGAGATGACAGGATGATTATGAACAGATCCAGATAGGAATGGGAGAAAAGGGGCTGTGACATATTTTAATGTACTGTTTCAAAACCTGGAGAAGTTGAGGGAAGTCATGTTAAAGACTGGTCAGGAACACTTAAAAATCAATATGCTAATATAAACTGTTCTATCTTCTGGGAAAAATCCTGCACAGTCCAATAAAAGTCAATTAACGTGTGGGAACCCCCACATACTAACACGCAGCTTCGTCTGTCTAACAGACAGCATTCAACTTCTGCTCAAGCTAAGTTAACGTCACATTGTGGCCAGCATTCGTATTTATACAGCACTCGATGTCCAGCCCACCTTTCCTTCGGCAGGATTGAACATGCCGGTTTTGGAGCCCCCCTACAGCAGCCCCTACCGGGTCCTGTCACAGAGAGAGAAGACGCTATAATTCCTCGTGCGCGGAAGGCATGTCACTGTGTCAGCCGACAGGGTTAAGCTGGCCTACATCCTACAAGAGACCGGCCGCGGGAACAGCATCAACCCACCAGCCGCAGCTACCCTGACTGTAGGACCACCTGCCATGCCAACACAGCTCCCTATAAGGACTACATGCTCTGGGCGTCACATCCATTTCCCCACTCATCTGAACATATGAGCATCAATTTTCGGGAGGGGGGGAGTGATGTGGGAACTCCCTCAAACTAACATGCAGCTTCATCTGTCTAACAGACAGCATTCAACTTCTGCTCAAGCCAAGTCAATGTCACATTGTGGACAGCACTCGTATTTATACAGCACTCGATGTCCAGCCCACCTGTAGATCATCATGTGCGCTACCCAATCAGCACTCACAATTGCAACTGCAACTTCAGCTCCGCCCAACAAGCATGGTATATAAGGTGGAGCTCAAAGCTTGCTTTCATCAGTTCTTTGATTGTCCTGACTACGACAAAGACGGCTAACACACCTACTCTGACGTCACAAAGCAGCAACAGCTCTCCAGCAACTGTGCCGAGAGAACGGCTCTGTCATCTTCCACACCATAGGCAGATGTTCCTACCGGCGCACCCAGCACCGCATCACAAGCCAGCCAGACCAGCTGAACGGCCATAAAGAAGACCTGGTCTGCTACAAAGCAGCTAATGCTACTAGTGCAAGCACGGCTGAACAAACGGTCCTTTTCAGGCCCCACAAACTTTTTACGTGGTTGTCTATTAGACTAGCGACATCCCAAAGATGTTTTGGTGGAATATATCACCTTCATTTTCAAGGCTGAAGTCAGCTGAAGCAAGCAGAGTTCTGTGACATGTTCCTAAAAATGTCAGTTTACTTTCACCAGACCATAAATAGAGCAAATCTCTCCCTGTAACAGGCCATGGAGGCCCATAGGGTTATGAGACGTCGAGGCTCCCAAATTTTATAGACAATCGGCTTACAGATGGTGGTGAGGTTGTCAGCTTACACGCCAGTCACCCTTTAACCCCAGGAAGATTCCTGGTACTCATTTCTGTTAAGACACTGAGTTGGTGCAGCTGAAAGGATTAGGTCAATTGAAGAATCGGATAACCTCATCAGGAATCAAACCCACAACCTTCGGGATTTTAGTATTATATGTACACTGTTGTATTCCAGAAGACAGAATTCCTCATGGCTCTGAGAACCTCAAATCCAATATGCCAGCATGTACTTGTGTAAGTAGTTATACATTCACCACATCTTCCAGAAACCATCTGGCCCAGGAGGCAGGTCTAAAAGCGGTCTGTTTGAATTCACACATATTGGTATATAAAGAATAAATAGAAATAATGATAGAAAGAATAAAAAGAAAAAATTATGAAGCATAAAAATACTCTCCTTCAAAAGTATTTTCTGCAAAGGTTACAAAAGAATTTGTTAGGGACCATTAGGTAGTGACACTGTCTACTATCCTAAAGGTCAGGAGAAGAAAAAGACTTGAGCTCAGGACAAGCATTTCTTTACTTGTTTCAAATCATCAGATAAAAAAGCAGGCTCTCAGAACTACAAATATGTGTACCAAATAATCACATGAGGCATAGTTTTGGAATGATCACCAGCTTCAGAGCTCAAAAAGTAGAAAAATGGTACAGGTATTTTATTTCTAGCATGTCTCCACACTAGTGCAATGAGGAGAAATTAAAAAAGTAAAGAGCGTGAGAATAGAAAAACAATTACCATTATGAGTATCCTATGATATTTAAGATGATAAAAGTCATTTGTAACAAATTACATCACATTTTCTAAACTTCAATAAATGAAAATTGAACCATGAAATAACCTAATTTTGTCCATCTAAAATTTCAATAGAAGAGTAACAATGATTTTGAATTGCAAGTACAGCTGACTTACCCATGATGTGGCTCTGCCTTCATTGTGATTTCTTCCTAACTGAACCTGCCTCCTATAACAGCCACTGTTATTATGAACTGTTCTGCATTCTATCTGCAAAACACACTAAGCATAGATCCTAGCATTTTCAAAGGCAAAAGTGGACTATGTACATTGCTGAAGACCACAGCACCAGTGCAGGCATACAGTAGAGTACTCCCACATATGAGGAACCCAAGGTGTGTGCTGCAGCATACTGATGTGTCTCAGAAATTCGTAAAGGGAAAATCCAAAGTTTTGCACACATTCTGTTGATATAATATTAAACTCAAATACGAACACAGAAAAGATTTTCAGTGTTTTACTAACACTTGCATGAATACATATGTAAGATAAATTTGTAACTGTAAATACATATATATGATAAGCACAGATCAGATCAGGAGTGCCATAATTAGAAGTCTGTAGACCACAAAGTAACATACTCATATATATGATTTTGCCAGAAAGTGGGTACATGCTATAATTCATCTCTCTTTAGCCTGTCAATCATTACTTTTTCTATTTTCTAAGCACATATAAATTACTTAATCAGCAGAACATAAGTAACTCAGTACTCACAACAAAAAGCTGCTTGAGATAGCCTCTAACATAATTAATGAATCAGAATTAAACAGAATTGTGTTTCTAACAAATTTGATGTTCACACAATGTGTCTGTGTATTTCAAAGAGGGAAAGCACACTATACAAAATGGAACCCCAATTTAATGCTCTTGAACCTTTTCCCTCATTAAATGTTCATTTTCAGTATTTCCAAGACAATAATTTCAATGTTAAGTTCCATCTGCTCAAGATTTCTTCAGATTATTGTTAAAATCCATTAGACATGCTGAACGCTGAACACAAAACAATCTTAAATTTTGGTTTCTCTGTATACAAAGTGTAACCCCAATTTAGTGTTGCTAGATCAACAGTTTTCCTCATTCAACATTCAATCTCAAAGATCTGAAGTCAATATCATTGCCAAATACCCTACATTTAAGATTTTACTCAGTTTTGTGTTCAAATCCCATGCCCCTAAAATAAATCATAAATGGAGGTTTCATTACATACTGTACTTTCATAAATGACAACATACTATATATGTGGTTCTATTCCAATGGTAATATATGAGCCAGGGAAGCACTCTGGTTAGCTTATGGGCAAAACAACTTCAGACCATTAACATTCTTCCACATTTACATACTACATGTCTTCAATAAACAGGGGATGCCATTATAGGTCAACAGAAGATCACAACATATGACCATTTATATATGTACAACAGAATGGTGGAAAAAGAATAAATGAAAGGGTATATTAAAAACATAATAACTATAAACTTTCAAAATAAAACAAAACGTCCGACACACTTGTTAACTAACTCCATGAAGCTAAGTCCTAACCGAGAAGCCAACAGATGCTCAGCCACAAGCATTTTATGGAACCCGGAAGTTCATTATCATGTTCACAAGAGTCTGTCACTGGTCTCTGCCCTGAACCAGATGAATCCAGTTCACATCACTCATCCTATTCTTCTAAGATCGATTTTAATATTATCCTATCATATACATCTACTTCACGTTTTCCTACCAACACCTTTATGCATTCTTCCTCTCCCCTGTACATGCTACATGCTCTGCCGATTTCATCCTCTTTGACTTGATGATTGTAATTATATTTGGCAAGGAGTACAAATTATGAAGCTCCTTACTGTGCAATTTTCTCCAGCTTCCTATTATTTCATCCCTCTTGGGTCAAAAATATTATCCTCAGCACCCTGTTCTCAAACACCCTCAGTCTACGTCATTCTCTTAGTGTCAGAGACCAAGCTTCACACCAATACAAACTACAGACAAAATTGTGATTTTGTATTTTGTTTTAATCTTGTTTTGTTAGTGCAGGTGAGAAGACAAAGTTTCTGAACTGAATGGTAGCAATCATTACACAAATTTAATCTGCTTTCAGTTTACTGTTCATGCTACTGGCCACTAAATGGTGAGGCAAATATCTTTCCAACATAAGACAGCAACCCCTTTTCAGTGGTAGAAAGCAAGCAACCAGGAGATGCAATAAAATAATAAAACAAAATGTTGAATCAGGGTAAGGTGTACAGTCTACTCATAATTGTTGTAAATCATCAGTGATATACAAGTATGTTACCAAAATAGATATAGCTGGTAAAACTTAAAATCATTATCAGAAGCTACAGGATGGGCCAAATGTCAGTGTGCACCTACACTACAAATGAGAAAACTGCTTCATTCTTAGCACTGTTTGTAAATTGGCACAGCAGATGGGTGTCTCATATGGCATCACATATAGAGTGCTGAAGAAGCATTTCCTGCAAGATGACATCAGTGCATGAATTGGAAAAAGGGATGTCAAGCTCCTGATGGTTTACAGACGTAATGACTGCCAATGGAGAGGATATGAATGACGACAAAATGGCCAGCATGCACGAGCCCCCCCACCCCACATGCATGCATACACACATTGATGGGGAACAATGAAAGATGCAGGTTACAAAGACAATTCTCGCACTTTCCTTGAACTGAAGGAAGCCATTGTAAATTTCATCAGAAACATAACACTGAATTGTGGCATCTCTTTGCAAACAAGATTATATGTATAAATGCACACTGACCTGCATGTGGGGCCATTTCCAACATTTGTTATAACTTTGGTGAGTATAAAAAATGTATTGGTATTAATGTATGGAGACTGTCTCGTAACATCTAATAATTTTAAAAAGTTTAAAGTTGTATTAAGGCATTTCTTGAACACTCATACTTTTTATAATGTTGATGAATATCTTAAATAGATAACTATTATTACTGTTGTATTCATTGTACTGTCTAGTTGTGTAATTACTAAGTATGTATTCTATGCTCTATATTATTTTATGACATGTTCTATACAAATACAATTTGTTTTGAGAGATGCTTTTCTGTATATGCATAATAAATTAAGTAATTTGTAATTAGGAATCACTGTGTTTGTGCATGTGAATTATCCTAAAAGTGTTCCTTCTCTACAACACATTTGTTGTCATATTACTAATTAGAAAGTCTCCATCATACTATAATGCATTCTTGCAGTAAACTAGTGTTGTACATGATAAACAGCAACACATTCTATTCATAATTAATACAGCAGGAGTAGAGGTATGGAAAACACACTGCTGGTGGGATAAATGAATGTGATGACTGACTACATATACAGGAAGTACAGCATGCAGATATAAGCTCAACTTTATCACTACTGTCTGATAGAAACGTCACAGCAAGCGTCCCTCATAGTAACATAATTCAGTTATAAATACTGTACACATGACTACAGGAAACTGCATCTGTCCAAGTGATAGCTAAACCTGTGGTTGCTGCTGCTGAAAGAAGTTATTATTTACTTACTCTATATTAAGCAGTATCAATTGAGTACTCCAGTTCAGTGGTTACCACTCCTGCTTCTTATCTGGAAGGCCTAATTTTAAAACCCCAGTCCAATATTGAGGTGCCATATCTCTTTTCTTAGTCTCGACAAGCAAACATTGGGATAGCATGTTAAATACATCATAACCACTTCCTTTGATGCATCTTTCAAGTCATCATTCACAATTGATGTGCCACAGCCCATTTCTGCTATATAAGCTAAGGGAAAATGTAATTAAATAAAATAAGAAACAAACAACAAACAATGTCATGCAGTTCAGAACATCATTCAGGCACCTGAAACATTGTGGAGTACCCATTAAGTTCATTCAGTCCCTCCAGCCATTGTCTGCATGAAGTAAATGACTCAAGTACTGCTGAATGATTTTCATTTTTCATATTCGAGAATTTTACCAAGAACTGTTGAACCCCAATTCCTCCATTAGACCATATGACTGTTCATATAAAGACTTACAAGCATTTATACATGCATCTCAAGAATAACTATCTAGGCATTTACTGGAACAAGAAATGTTTCAAACAAAATAATAGAGAAAATTAAATACATGTTTATTTTCAATACTTTTTCTGTCAGGCTCATGGTTTACTGAAGAAATCTGATGCCGTGAGTTCATTTATGAATATCTACATTCAACAAACACCATGATCTTCCAATCACACTCAAACTTGGACCATCTATGATTTTATTATCGGTGTGTCAGCTATTGGTGTTAGTGAAGTTGGGCAGATGGATATATATATATACAGCTGAGTCATTAGTTCCTGAGCCTAGTCCTTTTGAGTTTGAAACTGCTACAGGAAAACTGAAAAGGAATAAATTGTCAGTTATTGATCAAATTCCACCAGACATGACTCAAGCAGGTGAAACATTATATTCTGAGATCCATAAACTCATGAAATGAATTTAATCAGCAGTGGGTCATAAAATGACTCAAAGCAAATATTTTGGAATGACAGTAACAAATTAAAATTTGACTCACAAAGGAAATTGACAGTAGATTCAATTCAGGTTATTCTTGCTACCATTAAGTTCAGAACCTTTAGTCTTCTTGCCTTCTATCTAAAAACGTACAGATCAAAATATATAAATAGAATTTTCTATTCTCACTGAGGTAATTATGAAGAGTTATGCTTCCTGGGTTGACTTTTTGCAGATCTATAATTTTTCCTGCAGTTTTGTATGGGTGTGGAACATTGTCTCCCACATTAAGGGAATAGGGTTTTTGAGAACAGGGTGCTGAGAAGCATATTTGGACCTAACAAGGATGAAATAATAGAAGGCCAGAGAAAATGCCATAATGAAAGTTTCATCAATTAAGCTTCTCGCAAAATAATTTCAGAATGATCAAGTCAAGGACTGAGACGGGAAGGATATACAGCACGCATGGGAGGGAAGAGTTTTGGTGGGAAAACCTGAAAGAAAAGGACCACTAGGAATCCTCAAACACAGATGGGAAGATAATATTAAACTTGATCTTAGGGAAACAGGATAGGAGTGTGAACTGGATTCATATGGTCTAAGACAGAGATCAGCAGTGGACACTTGTGAACATGGTAATGAAAATTCAGGTTCCATAACATGTTGGGAATTTATGTGGCTGAGCAACTGTTGGCTTCTCAAAAAGGACTTAGCTCCATGGAATTAGTTACTTCAGAATATTTACATTCAGACCGAATTCAGTGAATACTGCCAGCATATAGGAGCTTATCAATAGTTAGACCAGAAAACCAGCAGGAAGGACAGAATTAGTTCCGTATTTTGAT